ATACTGCCATCACTTTTTGCTGTGGCAGGAAAACAGAATCAGGACGCTGACTTCAGGTTCATGGCTGAACTGGAATCGGCCGAGGACAGTGAAAAGACATTCAAGACGACGGCAGGAAAAAGTGGTCCGTGTGTGCTGTCCCTCACACCCAGCTTGTAACCACTTCCTCCCAGGGCACAGATCTGCCTCCAGAGAGGGACTCTCTTGCAGGGGGGAGGTCATTTGAGGACAAGGAGCAATGTCTTAAGGCTGGAATTCCCAGAGAAAACAATCTCACTGAAACCAACCCTCTCTCCGGTCTTGCAGTTAAAGAAGGGCACGCCGCCTCAAGGCGTTCCCTGTACTTGGGTTCCTGCACAGGCACTCGGTAACGCAGTGGCAAACACGTGTGCTTCCCAAACTGCCTGGGACAATTTTAGAGAAGCATTTGGAGTCCCCTAAGGCTACATACCCAAGAGAGGGAAATTAGCGATAGACATGGATGGCTATCCCAGCACAGTCTGTCTGGACAGAAGGCCCACAACAGAAAGGCTCATTTTCTTCCTACTTGCCGCTTTGTAGGTTGGGTTTAGAACAGGACTCTTCCGGACACACAGAGATGACATGAGTTGACCACGTGTTGAGGATATCTTATAGGTGGATGTAAATCATCTAAATCATCTACAGGCCAAGGACTAAGACGGGCTTAACTCCGCCTCTTCATCTTAAAACAAGCATATTTAGAATGCAAATACTTAGCCTGGAGCTTATTCTGTCGTCGGCCTTCAAAGACTCTAAACTCGCAAGCCTGTTATTAGATGGGCCGCAGAGTTATTTATGCTTTTCCCAACACGAGGCTCTGTTGGAAACAGAGTCAAGCTAGGCTTCTGGAGATCCGCTCTTTTTCCTGTGCTGCTGTTGGCAATCTACTGAAAACATAGCGTTCGTTCGTTCCACGGATTTGTAGTGAAGACTCGATAAGGAATAGTAGACTAGATACTGACCTCTCCTTAAAGTAGGACTCGTGCGATGGGTACCACATGGCTCACCTGAAGGGTTTATGTTTCTCACAACTCAGTGCTGATGGGAACCATGCATCCAATAAAACACAATTCTAAACACAGTAGTGCCCTTTTCTCTGAGGCCCTGGAGCTGGAGTTACAGGTGGTTGTGAGCCACCCAACATGGGGGGTGTAATATTAAGCTGGGGACATCACCCCAGCCCTCTAATCCCCCTATATCCAAGAAGTCTGGGATGATTGGAAGCCCCTGGCCTGGCAGTTGCCCTGGCTTGGACTCCAACTCCCAGCTTGCCAAGTGGTGACCCCTCCCTGGGGAGGGTCAGGACCACTCCCCCAGGCTATTTAGGCTTGCTCAGGAAAGAAGAACATTTGGTTTTTTTGGGGGGTTGTGTGGATTGACACCCCACCTTCCTTTGCCATGCACTCCTGGCCACCCAAGAGTGCAGCATTTATCAAACATGGGCATTTTAATTTGGTTTATCTGGTCTGCCTGAATTCTTTGTGCCGGTAGAGTGGCCCGTCTTAAGAAATATTCCTAACAATGGCTACTGGAAAGCAAACCCGGGTCCTCTGAGAGAGCAGTACACAGTCCTAAACGCTGAATCGTCTCCCGCTCTGGACATTCATCTCTTAGCTGGAGAAATAAACCCCTTCTAGGACTAAGGATCTGAAGGGACAAGCTGGCACCATTCTGGCCTTATGAGAGGCTAGAGGGGAAACGGGGATTTCAGACCAGCCGTTGACACAAACGCCATTCTGTATGTGGACAAGCATGAGCATTCTCTCTCATGAAAAGAGAAACGTGGAATCTCATCAAAAGTGGCTGTGAATAAAGCCAAACCAATTGCTCGCTCTGCTCTGGTTTAGGAGGAAGCAGAAAACGCAAAAGACACACAAGGCCAAAGAGACCACTTCTGTCCCCCAGTGCTGTCCCTTCCTCAGAGGACAAGGAAGCCTTGTGCTTCTCTCCAGTGTCCCCAGTGGTTGTGCTATCAGTGAGGAGGACACGGGACTCTGTATCGGTGTCAGGAGTCCCTGACCAGGCAGGAACAGATAGCTCAAAGACACCTGTGAACACAGATGACCCACAGGGTCTAGTCTGCAAGTCATCAAGGTCCAGAAGCTAGTCTCTGCTTTTAGGGCGGTGCTATTGGAATTGCTGTGGACTTCCAGGAGATGTCCGGAGGGAGGTTCTTCAGTTATCAGGATTGTGGTCCCCATGGGGACTGAGGGACCCTAGTTCCTAAAGCTTGCTTTCAGCTTCCCTGCTGTGAGGCAAGCATTTAGCCTTCCGCTGTTCCCATCTGGTGATGCCTGCCTGCCCCTCAGAGGACCAAAGACAACTGGTCCACCAGATCAAGGACTAGAAACATTAAAAGGAACGTAAGCTTTTTTCTTTATAAATCAATTATCTCAGGTATCTTGTTATAACGACAGCTGACTAACACAATCTATCAAAAATATCACTTAAAGCTGAGATTTAAAAAAAAAATCACAATTTAGACTCCACCCCTATATTTGTGGGAACGTTCCTTACAATGCAGTTTTTTTTTAGCTCTATGAAACAGAATGTTCTCTCAGAATCAAGAACTTCTTCTTTAAGTTGTCAGGCTAAGCAAACACACCGGGTAGGGGAAACAACATTATCTCATCGACTTAAGTTCCTGCTTCATTCGGCCGGTCATGCTTGCTGAGGCTTCCCATGGCCACAATCTGCAGAGGCTCGAATCATACATAGATGGAAACATCTCAAAGAAAATATGAAGTCATTCCTCCGTAAGAGATGCCATGTGAGCGCTATGCAGAACTGTGGTTAACTGGGGAGGGACCCTGACGGCACTGAAAAAGTTAAAAATCCTCGGGCGTCTTAGCAATAAAAAGCAGAAAGAAAACAAAACAAGGCAGAAGTTGGATGTTATCAGCTGGAGCCTCCCACCGCCCCTTTAATATGCTTGCTAATGTTCTAAGCCATTACAGACTTGTGGTAAGCCAGATGCTCTGTTCAGGCCAACTACATCATGCAGCTCCCCGGGGATGGGGACGTGAAGAGATGCTAATTACCTTAAATAATAAGCTAGCGTACAAAGGAAAAGCACAAAACTTAAGCATTCACACTCTGAGTCTGTTTTGTGGGGGATGGGATTCATTAGAAGATCCCCCACCCCCGCCCTGGCCATGTGTATGTGTGTGCAGGAAGTAAAACTGAGAGAAACTAGAACTGTCTTTCCCTCATGATTAACAAGGCAGGAAGAAGTTGTTTTGCACTGAGGAGGTCCAGAATCCCTAGGATCCTTAATTCCAATAGAAGGTTAAACTGGCTAACTCACTTCTGCAGTTTTATTCATCTCTAGGGGACCCTGGATTGCCAAGGAGACGCCCAGAGGAAGAGACATTCAAAAATCCGTAACTGTTGTCTTAATAATGTTTGTGGCGGTCAAGAACAGCCTGCTTAGGTGAAGAGAACACCAGGACTCCACTCTGGAAACCCACAATTATGTAAACTAGGATTCTAACATAGTCATTGTTTGTGGGCCTTAAAATTTTGCCTAATTTCTCGTCTTCAGAAACACAAGGTTCTGGGGCTAAGGGCTGCATAATAACATTGGCAATTTATTCACGGTATAGAAAGTGCTTTTAGATCTCTGAGCATCAAGGGACAGACCTCAGGGGATGGGTGAGCTAGAAACAATCCCTACCGGAAAGGATCTGAGAACCTAACTGAGAAGTGAGAACTTGGAAAATCAAATCAGAGCAAGAAAGTCGCTTAGTCAGGAATACAAAGAACGGCTTCGGACATCGCACGATTAACTATCAAATTAGTGTCTACTCAGGCTATTGCACCTGGCCGTGCCGGAAAACTACATGGAGAGGCTCAGAGAAAACACTGCCTGAGCTTGACCCATGCTTCCTGGATGGCGTTTCTGGAGAGGGTAAGGAAGGAAGAGGAGAGACAGACAGACGGACGGATGGACGGATGGATGGACAGATAGATGATAGATAGATATAGATAGAGGCATATAGATAGATAGATAGATAGATAGATAGATAGATAGATAGATAGATGCAGATAGATAGACAGATAGACAGACAGACAGACAGACAGACAGACTGTGTGTTGGACATTGAGGCCTGGCATTTTGCATTTTATAAAGCTCCTACATTATTTGGGTGAAAACAAGATGGGTCAGCTTTGAGAAGCACTGCTATGCACGGCAAATATCATCTATACGATATGATATACTATATGTGATGCGATATCATCGGCAAATGCATCTCTACCATAAAAAATAACGTATAAATCAAGTGGGCGCCTAGTATAACACTTCCCTTCTGCTACTTCCGGTGACGCACAGCCCGCTGGGACATGGAAACACTGTCCAATATCCCGAACCTAAGAGCCACTGTGGAGTTGCAAGGTTTCAAAGGCGAGAGTTTAAAAAAGAAAGTCCCTGCTTGACAAGCCAAGAAGCAGCCAAGTCTGCAGGGAAGAGGAGCACAGTTTAGGAAGGGAGAGGAAGGCTGTAACAGTGACATCGGTGTATGGTGGGCTCTCACAGGGAAACCGGATTCTCTACGTGGCTCTGCTATGTTTTCATTAAGGAAAAAAAATGGAATTTCAAGCCTGGGACTTGATAAATCTCAACTCGATCTCGATAGAAGACTACTCTTGTTGATTCAAGCTGCAGTTAAAACGTCAGTGTCATTGTTGTAAGCTGTGATGTAGTCTTGGTTGGACACCTTTGTCTCCTTTTAATGTTTCTTCTGTTAGGGAGATTGTAGCTTATTTAGCCAATCTTACTCAACTCTTGTGCTTAGGAGAGAAACTGGGACTAAACCGAGCTGGTGTTGATGACAGAACTTATTCATATATATATATATGATCCTTGTAAACAATGTCAGATGGGAAGCCACCCCCCCCCCCCCCGATGACTGGCGGTACCACTAAGACTTGATATGGGTGTTGATGCCCCTTCAAACAAATCCTGATATCCTGGTTACCTGAGTGAGTGGTTTCTGGTAAGATCGGGTTGACGCTCTTGGAGAATTTCAAAGATGTTGGGTTGACGCAAAAACGCAACGATTTTGTCATTGTAGGCTGGAAGAAAAAAGTAAAAAGAAACAATGATTCTTAAAAAAAAATCTACTACTACTTCTATGATGATATAAATTCATATAAATCCAGACTTTAAAAACTACGTTTTATTGCTAACATCCATTCCCCCCAAGTCCTCAGTTTGGAGCTATTCTGCCACTGGGGCATAGATGCTTACTTTCCCACTTTGTCTAAGCTGTTACACGATTCTTGGGCTTACACTTGCTACTTGCTATTCTTGCTATTCTTTTTCAATATATCTCATGAGCCAAAAATACTTGCAAATGACAAGATTAGTTCACTAACAAAATTCTAGATGGTCATAATTTTAAGTTTACCAAAATCAACCTGAAAGCCAAGCATGGCGGTACAGGCCTACAATCCCAGCACTTGGGAGACTGAAGCAGGAGGACTGAGTTTGAGGCCAACCTGGGCTACATTGTACCACTGCCTCAACAGCCAAACCAAACCAAAACTACCACCATCAACGAAACGCCAGCAGCAGACAACCTCACAGAAATGACAACCATAAGAAGCGGGAAATTGTCTTCTGGTTAAATAGTAGCTGGCCAGAGAGGTAGAACCAGAGATCCGCCCACCCCCCAAAACAATAGTCACCAGTAACAGTGACAGCTATGGCCACAGTGCTAATGAACAAGCCATTTTCTAACTCTACATGGAAATAAATGCCAAACACGAACAACTCCACACCAAACAACTGCAACACCATCACCAACTACTGGCAAACATACATTTTTAAACAATCTACAACCTACTTACCATGGCTACAGAAATGTCAAAATTGTTAAAAAAAAATTTTATTAGGTGGTCCATTATTACCTCTTCTGTCAGGAAAATGAATCTGCATACTTAGGATTCTTCTGCTTAGTTATATTATGAATAATCAGGAATCGGTAATAAATATAATTCAGAGAACCAAGCTGAGAGAGGGTCTGAATTCACAAACAACAGGGAGCCCGGTAATTCTACAGGCAGCTGTGTCTAAAATGCCATACTGTCTACACATACATATTTTAGCTAAATGTTTCAAAAGTTTTTAAATCTTATCTGTTAAGACTGAATTCTAATGTCAACACCAAGAATCCCTAAGTTAACATTTCATGATATATGAACTGAGGACATTTTTACAATGGAATCGTTTTATTTTCCATCTAAGATCAGAGACGAGATACTTCTTATGCAATAACTTTAAAGCTCTTGAAAGTTACGCATGTAGTAGTTATTAATAATTATATATTAATAATGATGCTATAAGTATGGACAGACATCAACCCTAGATATCTTATCTGGTGGTTATCTTTAAGCCATGGGTAGTACACCGTATTTTGTTGCAGAAGTGTTTTTGTTTGTTTGTTTCTAGGGTAGAGAAACAAGCCCCTACCCCCCACAATAGGCTATGTGGTCAGGTTTCCCACACTTGGGGAAATCCCAGGGTCAGCTCATCTGGAGCACAACGCAGGTGCCTCGCCCTGGGAGAACCACCTTCATGAACATGGCATCTCCCCTGCCAGGTTAAGTATGTTTGTGTTTTGATGTAAAAACAGACAAAGAGAAAGCTGTTTTGCTTTAAGGTGGGGAGGGAGTTTAGCCACCTCTCTGCAGTTTGTCCGCTCTGCACGCCTCGGGGGCTCCAGGCTGGAGACCATGACTCTACTTTAGCTTCACTGTTTTAATAACAGTTCAAAAATTGTTTTCAGACCTGGAAGCCCACATCCGTTGATTTCAGTTTACTATTCTGGAGGCTTTGCTGCTTTTCTGTTTGTTATAAAAGCCCGTAAGAACGTGGAAGCCTTGCTTGGATGGTGAATGAGGCTACCACGGATTCACACACCCCTTAAATTCCATCCTAGGATGCGATATATTCTAATTATACGTTTGTTTGAAAGCTTAATTTACAGTGATTGCATATTATTTCATTAGTGTTCCTTACCTTCAGCAACCCAATACTTGCTAAGCGGGACTACGGGGTTTTATAAGGCAGAAGCTCTCTGAGAATCAAGGGACTAGGATATAGTTATAGTGGCTTAAGGACAACCGAGGGAGGAGTGGGAGGCTGGCAGGGGGCACCCGTGGGCACTCTATGCAGTAGCAGGATAAGGCGGATAAAGATGTGCAGAAAGAGCTGACGTACCCACTGGAACCATGTCCTGGTACTGCGGCCTGCTGACGGTATTGAATGTGCTGGATGGTCTGGGAAGAACGGGTGGTCCCGCGTGCCGAGAGTCTTCGCCTACCTGCGAAGACAAGCAACATTTATGTCTGCACCAAGAGCTCCAGGGCTTTGCATTGGCATCTCAAACTGAGTTGTTCAAAACACTTGGAGGCCAATAAGCAATTGATCAGGACAGGTGCCAGCTAAGGTGCTGAGGCCAGGTCCTTGAAAGGTCTGTTCTTAAGGCTTCAAGCTGATGGGTGAGACAGGTCCGTCAGTGACAGGAGCTAGGCCAGTGAACATGCATGGCTTGGGAGTTCAATCTGCTTGCCTTTACCAAGGCCGCAGAAGCAAAATTGAAGAATTGCTGAGCAGGATTGTCTGCACAGCCAGAACCCCAACCTGCCGCAATGCGGTCAAAGGGAAGAGCTGGGTGATACAAGATGCATCCGGCTGCGCCTGGATATTCCTTCTTTTAGCTGAGGGAATTCCCTGCCTCCGCAGAAGAGGAGCTGAGCGGCGGCAATCTTCCTGCGGGGTTGTTCAGTAGGACATTATCTCCTCAGAAGCAATTTTATATGCTCATTAGAGGAGCTGGTGTAACAGCTCTTTCTGGTTTGAGCCTCCCACACCAGAAGGCTAACAGGAGCAGGTGTGCATGATCTAAATACGGTTTCCTTTTTTTTTAAATAATCCCTTGATTATTCATTGCGCCTCTTATGGGCTTAGGAACCCCTACAGATAGATAACCAATCCATTCATCTGTGCTCGTGCCAGGGAAGTCTAACCTTGCTTTAGCTTCTGTTCTAGCACCTTCTCGCATATTCCAAAAAGGCTTTTAAGGAGAGGACAGGAGGTGACACTGGACTCATACCCCCTCACGCTGAAATCCTCAAGGCCATTTTATCATATTATGTCAGCTGGGTACTTGTTGAGGCCATCTCTACAGCCCCTCCCATCAGAAAGAGCCTTTCCACCTCCCCTGCCCCGCCCCCATCCTTCAGGAAGTGCTCTCACTCATTCTTCAAAGTAAAGTTCAAACAGCCCCATCTTCCTCCGCCAAACCTTCCCTTCTCTTCAAGGTGAGGTTAAACATAATCTTCTCCTCTGAGCTCCCGCGGGGCTCCGGGGATATTTCAAAATCAGCTGCCGTTATCAGCCATTTGTTATTTATTTCCTATGCCCCCCTAAAGCTGGAAACAATTTAAAAAGTCCACATTATTACTAAAAGGAGTTATTAAAACACAGCTTTCTTCCTCAGCTATTAAAAACAATGCAATGTGATTGGTTATGGTGGTTGGTGTTCGGGGTGCCACGGTGTCCACGTGGAGGTCAGAGGGAAAGTCTGTGGAGTGAGTTCTCGCTTTCCACTCTCTCCTGGGTTCCCAGGATCAAAGTCAGGCCACTAGGCCATGCAGCAAGAGTGTCACACCCCCTGCCCTGGCAGCCTTGTGGGCCCCTTAAAGCTTTATCAAGGCAGGGCAGGGGTGGCGCACGCCTTTAATCCCAGCTCTCGGGAGGCAGAGGCAGGTGGATAGCTGTGAGTTTGAGGCCAGCCTGGTCTACAAGAGCTAGTTCCAGGACAGGCTCCAAAACCACAGAGAAACCCTGTCCTGAAAAAACAAAAGATAAAAAAAAAAAAAAACAAGAAAAAAAAAGTTTATCAAGGACTTTTTCCCTCTTATTTTCCATCATTTCAAATATCACTTTAAACTTGCTCTCCGTACTAAGAATGTGGGAAATAGGCCCTAATTATTTGCACTCATTACACCGTCAACCACGATGTGTCTGCACGGCTGCAGGTGTTTGTCCACAGCTGCAATAGCAGCGGCAGACCCTGATGAATGAGGCTTGCATGGTCACAGTGCGGACCCACTCCATAACTGCAAGTTTTCTCAGCCTGCTCCTTCTGAGTTACTGGCTTTGAGGAATGCATCTAGCCACTCTGAGAAGATTCGGTTATCATCTTCACATCTTCAGACAGAGGAGCACTTAGCTTTTCAAGACACCAGTCTATGTAATTTCCCTCCTGCCAGTGTGTTGCCGTGTGTCAACATTTCCTAGAACAGCCAAAGGTCGCAAAGCCTTCACTTCTTAAAACCAGGCCACAAGACAGCGGTCAACTCCTCCAAGAAACACAGGCAATGCCTCGAGCTGCCCTGCTTCCAGGGTGTGCATAAAGAACAGCCTCTGAGAGAGGTTGGATGATAATGTGGCTGCCTGCTGGGTTACTCTGTTTCACTGTTCAGTTCCCAGCAGTAGAAGGGAGATTTTCATTTAGTTGCTAATATACCCTTGATGGGCTCTGTCCCACGGACTGGCTACTTCTAGACTTTGAAAGTCATTCAAAGTTCTGAAGCAGGGGTGCTAGAAGAAACGGGGGTGGGGGTGGGGGGTGGGGAAGTACCGCTAGTAATCTCTCATATTTTCTCAAAAACATCGCCCTGACTAGACAGAACAGCCACCTTCAGCTTGTGAAGCCACCGTCAAGCAAATGGTTAAAGCGGACTGTCCACGTGCTAAAGCTAGGCAGGGTCCTAATCATGTATACATCTAGGCAAGGTCCAAGGGTAAGAGTTCGGTTGTACTTGGTGAGATAAACGCTGTTCGTGTCCTCCAGTTCACCACTCATGGTTTACAGAAAAGCATGATAAAGATTTATGGGCTACTCATAAAGCATAAATATTTTCATGCATAGCTCACCCTGCGTTAGACCTATACATCATTTTTATATGAGCTTCTCGTGTATGTTCTTCTATAAACAGGGCACACGTGATGCATTAAAGCAGCATGAACAGCATGGGGGGAAATTCCACGGGTGGAATCTTGATGAACTGAACCCAGTTACTTATTGCATTCATAATTTTTTATTACAAGAAAGCCCTCAGAACATTTGGCCTACGGTATCATATTGGAAATCGGATACGCGTTTAGGAACGGCAGGCAGGAAAAGAAATCTTAATTCCATTTGTCTAAGGGTCTCCCCTCCAAAGGGCGCACAGCAAGCCACAGTGCACACTCAAGCCGTAAGCTCCCTTAAGGAGGAGACACTTCGCCCTCAAACAGTCCTTTCACGCATTCAAGCCGTTGAAAGAAAAATGAAACAAGAGGGGATTTTTATGTGTTTGGGGCTAGGGTGCTGGAGAGCCCTCATGTGGTTACCACAGACCACTGCAAACTGGCAAAGCAGGAACTCAGGGCTGTCCAGTCGTTCTTAGTTCAGGCCGTTTTCTCTGTGCGGTAAGCACATGACCACTTCAGTCAAATACATCTGAATTTTAGACAATACCAGCCAAGGATTCACCCTTGGATATCCGGATATTTTAATGGTATCCAGTAAACCTCACTTGGGGAATTCTTCCCTGCGGAAAAGACAGTTTTTGCCCCACTAAAGTTCATTCATTGTTTTCTTATGAGACTGTCCTTGGGTGTGCAAAGGGATTATTGTCTTCTGTGTGCACTAATCAGTACCAATTCCGTCTGGGTTAAACACGAAACTTCATTCTTCAGTCGTTCATCATATACCCAAACTACTAAATTTGCAATTTAGCTTAGAGGTATTTTCAGAGAAACCTTGTCAACATTCCGGAACTTTTGAAGCCTATAAATGATACACTTAAATTGAATAAAACCAAACTAAACTGAAAACTAAAAGAAAACCAGAAAATGAAACAAGCAAACGACAGAAAAGGCAACACAATTTCACACAGAACCATATCGGCATCCTAGCGGCTGTCATCGCCCATCGACTGGCCACGACTTACCTCCCCAGCACTGTGGCTGCGTTGCCTGGTCAGGTGTTGCCGATGAACCAGCGCGCTCGTGGGCCTGCTGCTCTGAAGTGGGAGCCGAGGGTCGATGAACGTGGTGGTCCGGGAGTTGTGGTCAACAAAAAACGCCTAGGATACAACCCATTGCATCAGCGTGGAGCGGGCCAACAGGCGTCGCATGCATGCGCGCGCACGCGTCTCAGCAGACCTAGGGCACAGCGCAGTCGGGGAAACTACCCACTCTCGGGTGGTGATCTGAGTCTCGTTTTCGCACAATTTACAACCCTTGGAAGAATGTCTTGACAAGACAGGGTGGACTAGGGAAAGGCACATCTAGCCTGCATCCAGAGCGAAGACAGCAGGGAGGAACATGACATGAAGTTTTAGAAAATGCTCTAGGTCATCAAAGATGTGACCTTAGAAGGAGGCCATGGGGTGGATATCTGGAGCGGGGTGTGGTGGCACAGGCCTGTCATCCCAGCGCTGACTGTGGAAACAAAAGCATCCTTAGGTGGAGGAGGCTACCCTGGGATACACAGGGAGATCCTGCTTCAAAACAAAGCAGCAGCCATAACAATGAGTGGGAAGGGCCTCTGGACTCTTCTAATTGGTGCTCTTGGGCCCCTCCCACACCTGGTTACTACAAAAGTCTAATCATCCGAAACTTCACCATCAATGACTCTCTTCTTCCCTTTCCCAAGCAATCAGCTGCTAGACTCTGCCTGTTTTCCCATGGCCAGTCCTCTCTCTGTCCCCTCCTGGCCTCTGAGCACACTCCAGGAGCTCATCCAGGAGCTCATCCAGGAGCTCATCCAGGAGCTCATCCAGGAGCTCATCCAGGAGCTCATTCTGGAGCTCATTCTGGAGCTCATTCTGCAAGAACCACACCACTAGTTCCTCAGTAGTTCCCATCTCCCCGACGCCTTTATTCCTCAAACCTTTTAGAAGACTCTTCCTCCTGAGCACTTAGATGACGTCACGACTCTAAAACAAAGCTTCTAACGGCCACCCAATGTCTCTAATGTACCCCCCCCCAAAACTTGGGACAGTTCTCACAGATCCTAAAAAACAGAGTATTTGATTTTTTTTCTTTTTTACCCTCTTAAATAAACAAAGCAGAACAATGACAGAACAAGAATGTTCCAGGCCCCTCATCACACTATGGGATTTCTAAGTACACACACTGAGTGCGTCTTCCCCGAGCTAAGAGAGACTGGAGCATCCTTGGTCTTATCACTATGAAAAAATGCATGGGTGACAGACCTTCATAGCCTCTTACGGACAGGTTCTGGCCTCAAATTTCACGCCAGCCTTCGCTTTATTTAGGTTTCTAACACAGCTGTTCATTATTCCTGACATTATTCAAAATGTCACGACATAGCAATCATTTCTACAAACAGGCATGTTTATTTAACTCCTGCCTTTAAAAAACAGATATTATTGCTGGGGCAGTGCTGGTGCCACTTTTAATCCCAGCACTCGGGAGGCAGAGGCAGGCGGATCTCTGAGTTCTAGGCCAACCTGGTCTACACAGAGAGTTCCAGGAGAGGCTCCAAAGCTACAGAGAAACACTGTCTCGAAAAACCACCCCCCCCCCAAAAAAAAACCCTAGCAGATATTACCAAGTCTCTTTTTGTATAAATTTTACTACAAACATAATAATATAAACCATGTTACTTAAGAGAAAATATAAAAAGTGCTAAAATAGTATGGCCTAATTATGTAGCACCTTAGGAATGCTTTCAAGGATGGGTGGCAACCACAGGCACCATGATGCACCAATAATTACAAGACACAAATGGGTGTCTGCAGGTAGGTCAGTGCGGATTTGCATACAGTGTCAGAACCTAATTTGACGTTAACAGGCTTGTTTCAAACCCATTCTCCAAGGAATTATGTAAATGTCCCGAGGGAAGAAGACTATTCTTACTCACCCTGCCATCCTCAATCGCTTTCAGGGCTGACCTGGGAAAAGGAAGGCGCCCAAGAAATAGCAAAGTGCTCCTAACAGCCTCCCAACCCTCGTGAAGGGGCAGCTCCTGCCTAACTATCTATGAAAAGCACAACAATAGCTAAAGATGTAGAAGAATTAAAAAGAAATGAAAGGGGTATATAAAACATAAAGTCTGAGAAAGTAAAGATTAAGTTGAGAACTAAATAGAAGACAAAGTTTTTTTTGTTTTTTTAAAAGCAGGGTTAAGGTTTTTATTTTTATTTATTCTTTGACTTTTTCTTTTTTTATTGATTTTTATTGAGCTCTCCATTTTTCTCTGCTCTCCTCCCTGCCTTTCCCCTTCCCCCCTCAGCCCTCCTCCAAGGTCCCCATGCTCCCAATTTACTCAGAAGATCTTGGAAGAGAAAGTTTTGAAACTCAAGTTATAGATATGAACAAACTCTCAGACGAAAACATTCAAAGTAAGTGACAAAGTAATCACCGCATGCTTGGGACCCAGAAAAGGACACGTCCATTTCTGAGCTCCACCCTGCCACTCATTCCGACTGTAATTCTGGGCAAACTGCCTCTAAGTTTAAGGTTCCGCTTATTATTTTTTTTCCCTGTTAAATTAGGACATTACATCTATGTTCAAGCAAAGCTAAAGAGAAGATTCATGCCCATTTTTAAACACCATTTCTATGACCTTTAAAATATGAGTGACTGCTATTATCAGGAAAAATAGTTTTCAATTCTGATCCTTTTCCCTAAACATTCCAGAGTTTCTTGCTACAGTCCACACACGAGGGTGGAAAAACAAACCGCAAGGACCATAGAGAATCAGGGAAAGGAATTCTTCCTGACCCCTCGCATGCGAGGGGCCATGACTAAGTGGAATATTCCATTTGTAGCTAGCAAGTCTCCTTATTAGGGACACAAGTGGGGTCCTTCTGCTCATCCTCCATCCAGTCCCCTAAAGTAAGGACGTTAACAGCTGTTCTGGTGGAAGATCCACCCCAGCCCTTAGCATCCATACACCCAAAGAGTCTGGAATGTCCTGGTGGAAGCTCCACCCCCAACCCCTGGCATCTGTACACCCAAAGAGTGTGGAATGTTCGGGTGGTAGCTCCACCCCAAGACCTCTCCCCATCTCTCTTCAAACCCTGCTGCAGCTCAGAATGCCCTGACCCCTCTCCCAGAGATGCTCAAGGCCACTCCCACAGAGCATTTAAACTGCCCCCCTAGAAAACAGACACGTGGTTTTTCCCATCTCTCTTTTCTGTCTCCTCTCTGGGGAGGGGGGGGGCGTCTGGAAAATCATCCAGGAGAGTTTTCTATCCATTAAACTCGGACTTTCTCCTCTGGGAGTAGGGGTAGGGGCTGGAAAATCACTGGGGAGCGTTTTTTTAATCCATTAAACTCGGACTTTTTCTAATTTGTTTTGATTTGGTCTGAGTTGGATTGCTGTGTCGGTGGAGAGGCTTCTGGGGTGCAGGAACTTCCAACAGCCAGCATACTAAAGCAATGGAAATGGGTAAACAAAAGGAGGGAACTGGAGGAGCGGGAGGGGGGCGGTCTTGTAACTTCAGGAACCTCCGGATCAATCCAGCAGGCTCACCTCTGAACTTCCACATACGAATGAATACACTCTCCCAAGTAAACCCTGCGTAGGTCTTCTATCACAGTCCAGGCAAGCCAACCCCAGCCGGTCACACCACAATCTCCACGGCAAAGCAACCGTGCCCTCGCTAAACTTGAGACTGGAGCCAGCATCTCAGCAAAGGGTTTTCACTATTTGATAACGACATCTGATTATCGGTCACTATTAATCCAATTGTGTCACAACTGTGGATTTCAGGGAAACACTTGGGAACTTACAAAGCTGGGACATTGCTCTGTCCTTATAGCTCTTCCCCGTCTATGGCGCGCTCTCAAGATCCATACGGTGGGTGCTCCTCTCGCTTCTCCCATACCTCATCCCAAACTTGGCTTTGGAAAAGCACTGAAGGATGCCTTGACCGGGGTTGAGAACCACAGCCACTCATGCGCGGCACGTGGCTTTTTCTCTACTGATGCAATCTGAAGAGGCTCAGCCGCATTGTCCACGTGACCTGCGCGGCAACCCTCACCACTAAGAGGTCGGAGGCCTGGCCGTGGGCGGGGAGGGCCGTGTGTTCGCCACATCAGGAGGGGTCCCGTTCCAGAGACTCAATGGAATGTGTGCACTGTTTACATAAGTTTTTCCAGTCGCAAGCACTTGAGAGGAAAGGTCTTGAAAATCTCCGCGAGCATCACAGATCTAGGGCACTAACAGGATACAGCACTCAGGAGCAATTGCTCAGCACGCGTTTGGGCTCAGGGCCCTTTGTGTGACCTTGGATGGGTCTCCTAAGATTTTGCTGTGTTATATATCTGTAAAAGGGGGTGACTCAGGTCACGGCCAAGGTGTCAAAATGCAGGCTACTTTAAAGTAAACTGGGCCTGGGTTTCATCGCTAGCACCACCAGGAGCAAGAAACCCCAGATGAAGCACGAAAAATCACCGAGTAATTTGCACGCTGGCTAGTTAGTTCCGCGGATGACACACACCAATTATATCAGAAAAGTAGATCACTTTCCACAGGGAACGCTAACTAGTTCAAGTGAGCAACGAAGCTGACCTGGTCCTTTTTTTAAAAAAAAAAAAAAAAATTGGGTCACTTTCACGCCACAGCTCCTGAACAGCCTGCAATTACTGATGGGTGTCTATCTAGCAGGCAACTGTCTGAAACTTGATTTAAGAAAACAGTCATCGGAAGACTTTAGTCCTGTTCAAATTAGCAACTCTCAGGGCATTTTCCAAACAGCACCCTTCTCTACTGTCAAGTTTCATAAAGGAAATTCACTCAAGCTTCCTAGAGCTGGGCCCACTAAGACTAGCAACGCAGAAGCGGAGCAGAATGCAAACACACACACACACACACACACACACACACACACGCATGCACGCACACGCGTGCGCTCACGTCTCATTGAAAACCATCCTCCCCTTTCAGGGCTGCAGGGCACAGTCAGAGTCAAGAAATATGGGCCGGCTGGAGCCAAGCGGTATTTTTGCAAGGCCAAACAAAACACATTTCTTTCTTTACACAATTCTCTTTTTCTTTTTTCTTGTCTTTTTTTTTTTTAAACTTCTATTATTGTAAGCAAAAAAAAAA